GTGGATGGGCTCAAGCTGATGAGGGTAAGGCTGATGTTATAACAGACTTGTTCATCGTTCGTACACATATTTACTTTTGTGCTTGTTTATTTTCCGTCCATGCACTTACCCACCCCATTGCTTGTGGGTTTCTCTGTTATGCTCTACGTGGTGGCACAGGAGTCAGCATTTGTGAACATTTGATGTTGCTCAGAAAGGGACAGTGACAGAATGCTTTTGCGTGTTGTGGATACCCAATCTCCCGATTGGCAACAACAGCAGCAACAAGAGCCCATCCATCACATCTGTCACTTCCATTACAGCATCTGTCTATCACATCCAGCCAGCCATCCTGTGCATCCATTTGTTCAATTTTCCAACAATGTCAGCTAGGAAAGGCACCAAACCTTGTGGACTGAACCCAGTTGTGACCCAACTTTTAACCAGTGCACCAAGAAGGGATGGGTTGGTATGGATTGGGCCGAGACTGGCTTGAGGCACAAGTCTCGGAGGAGGACCTGAGCTGGGCGGCAAAGCTGGGACTGCTGCGACGGGGGGGCGGAGGTGCTGCACTACATGCACAGATTGGCACCCACCCCCCCTTGCGCACGGCAAAGCTACAGCCTCCAGCTTCCTGGTGACGGCAGCACAAGGTGCAGGAGCCACAGGCGGCGATGCAGAATCTCTGGATCAGTCTTTGGGATCCCTGCTCAGGATTGCCGACTTCTTAAAGACAGCTGAAGTGTGGATTCTTCCATCTGCACACCCTTCTGAGCAGTTCTGTGCACAGTGCATCATTTTTTGGCTTTGAAAGCAGTGCAATAGACTGTGTGTTGTTTTGGGCTGAAGCTGTATCCAGTACACGCTGGTGTGGGTCATCCATGTGCTCCTGAATCAAATTTTGCTCTTGCCGCTGACGCAAAATTGATGCAAAAACTACAGATACAAAATAGATACTTCAGTAGATCTTGGGTTTTTTCATTTAGACACTGTCTGGACTCAACAAGTCAGCGATGTTATCTTTTGGAGGAGCTTCACATCAATGTCTGCAGATCCCCAAACAAGTTGCCGTCTCAAGTATCTCTCAGATATATCTACAGAGTAGGTATCCATCTACCAGATATACCCAGCGGAAGGCTGTCATATGCATGCATCAATAATCAAAACAATGACATTTGTGCCATCAGGCAGGGATGGTGGTGTGTCTTTGTTAGCATGTGCCGTCTCCTGCCCCATATCCACATCTCATGTCTACAAATGCTGAAAGCTTTCGTGGCAGATCTTTGCCAGCACCAGTGCTGCATGCTACTGAGCACATTCAAAGCAGAATTCTGTTTACAGACCAGTCAATGTTCATAGGTCCAGTTTTGAATCACAATTAACATGTCCAGCGAGGTTCACTTCGATATGTGCAGGCCTATTCGATTTTGATGTTGGTTTGGCAGCGCGTTGCTGGTGGCAATCCATTGACGAGACGGCTGTGCCTGTTTCTCTGTGAATGTTTGTTGTCAACCTAAGTGTGCTGGATAGCCTTGCAAAGCTTTTGGTGTGCACAGGTGGCTTGTTAACTAGCAGGCCACCCAGTGCAGTGCTGATTTTGAGTCGCAATGTGCTGCACCTGCCCATGTTGCAGCTTCTTTGGTTTAGTGGCGGTGCCCATCATATGCGAGTGTGATCTCCACAGCCCAAGAGCACACTGCTGCCTCCAGTTGTGGGCTGGCCCAGCTAGGAGGTGGGCTGGGTGCCCCACAACTTAAGACACAGGCAGCGGTGCAACCCGCTGTTTTTGAATCTAGTGAGTTCTGGCAGGCTGCTGAGTGATGAGTATGCAGGCCACCGCTCAATGGTATACTGGACATAGTTCCAGTGGGTTTTGTTGTTTTGTTTCGGTTGCGTACAACAATCAAACTACAGCCATGGCAAGATGTTGTATGTCAAATGTGCAGGAATCTTAGCCTATTATTTTGGCCCACATGATGTGGTCTGTTCTGTTTCAAACAGATGTAGTGTAACAACATGGATGACAAACCCTCTAGTCTTGGCTCTGTCCCACAAGCTTGACATTTGCAATGTCCCCAACATTGTATGTGAATGGAAGACTTAGCCTGGTACTTAACCCAGTACTTTTGCACCGCAGTGTCGCTCACTTGTCGTCCAGTACTTAACCAAAACGTTCCTTTTAGGTGGAGGCCACAAGGAAGCATGAGCCCAGGGATAACGAGCCTTCGGACTTGGGCCGAGGCGAGGTCTCCCGTGAGTTGGATGTCCACAGCTTCGGAGCCGTGATGTTCGAATTAATCACCTCCAGTTTTCCCTATCGTGCCGCTCGGGCCCCAGGGGCCTCCGTGGCAGGGATAAAACTGGCAGGGGAAGATCCGTGCGTTGTGCAACCCAGGGACTGCCCCAAGGAAATGTTGGAGCTTATGCGTCGGTATGCATTCTGTTCGTATTTTTTTCGTATATCTATTTTATTGCATTTCTTGTCTGTTTTTATTCCTTTGTTGAATTTTCAATGTTGTATTCGAGTTGTTTTGTCGTTATCTTGAGCTCTTGTTTGTGTTCTCCTCCTGTTGACTATGGTGGTTTGTTTTCTGGATACGATCTATTGAGTTTAGATGATATGCACGCCATCTGGCTGGTCATCGCTGCTTCACATGAAGATAGAAAACAGATGTTTATTTGTTTACTATAGCGGAATGTTTTGTATGTTGAGTCACCTATCAGCACTGATACCCCATCTTTGAATTTTGGGTGCATATCTCCAAATGCGTGGGATAGACCCACGATGGAGCAGGTGTGTGAGATGCTTGCGCAGATCCCGGCTGATTGGGCTGGACATGGAGGAAACAGAGAGGTGATTGTTATTTCTGTATCGCCATCGTCTGCTTGCAGTTGTCTGTTGTTTTCAACCTGCTATTTTGTTGTCGTTGGTTGTATTTGGTTCCCTCTTTTGCTATTTTTCCTATCCCTGTTTTCACTTCCTCGTTTCGATTCTCTACCATTTGAGATGAAGCCAATCCGTCCAGGATGCTGACGTACATAACCCCCAAAAGTCACTTGCGCCCTTACCAGTGATCCGACTTGTATTCTTTCCGACTTTAAAATTCCGATCTGTCGACCTGCCAATATCAGTTTCTGCATATTTTAGGAACTCAGTACTTCAATGCTATTGGCGTGTCGTTGTTAAGGCGCTGTGGTTCTTCGCCGCTCTTTCCATTGTTCCTGCACTAGCTCAGTATCGCATCTTTTTATCCTATTTCAAAGGTCTGCAGGGGAAACTTCCCGTCGTCTATTTGAACAAAGATTCAAAGTAAGTGATGCTGGAAAGGCACATTAAGACAGGGTGATTTTCTTTACATGAAGGAAGATTCGATGACAGAGCTGCAGGCAATTATCGGCCGGGTCTCCCAGCTGCGTCCAGCCATCCGGTACAATCGCCGAATCCTCACCTTCTTCCTGGAACAGATCGAGCGCATGCGCGGCATCACGACTTGCACCGATTGGCCCATGGAGTGCCGCCTGCCTGTGGTGCACAAGTTGGAGTCGCTGCTGCTCTCCAGTGAGTGCATGATCAAGCCACATGCAAGTCGCTTCGATGTTCTGAATTTCTACACCATGTCCGAGGCACGATGGGTGGTGCAGGTGGGTGTCCATCCTTAAACCAAGAGTTACTAGGGCAAAGCTATTTGCCAATAATACTGGCTGTCTTGCTGTTTTGTGTTTCTTAAGTACTGGGCAAGGAGCGTGTTGCCTGAAAGGGAGCTAGGTGTCAAATAATAGGGAATGCTTTGCCGTGCTTGCATGCACCACTGTGACAGACAAGCCTCTGTCCACACCTGGGGTTTCTGTAGATTCTGAAGTTCTCAAAGGCACCTACAGCACTGTGGCCTTTATTTGGGCGCTTGTGCAATCAATGGCAGCGGTGGCAGTAGAAACGCAGATGAGGTTCCACGGCTTGGTCCCGTCACAGCATGCTGTGCCATTAGAATTGTAAACAAAGCAGTAATTGTCAGTTTTACGCATTAATACTGAATGCTAGACATGAGAAATGGGTAAAGTCTGTGACCCCCTGTTTCCAGGCAAAAAGGGTACCACAAAGTCCTGAGAATTGAGCTTTGGTTCTCATTATGAGGTACCAAAGCTTCCATCCTAATTGCGCAAATGGTCGATCCTGACTGACCTTTGTCGAATGCGGGTGAGTCAGACCATCTGCCAGAATCAGGGGGCGTCCTGCAAGTGTTCGATCTTGCGGTAGAATACATGGTACCGGGTGCAGATGCAGAGCAGGACAGCGCTTCCCTGGAGCACCATTTGAAATTTGTAGTGGATGATGGTGATGACTGCAACGACTTGCAGAGTGATTCCAGTGCCACGCAATGCCACAGGAGCCAAACGGCCTGCACGAAGATGAGAAGGATGCTGATGACAGCGATCCCTTTTGGCGACGAGTGGCATGAAGTGAAACGGGACCTGCAGGCCCAACTGGCCCGGCTCTCAGTTGTTACAGAGGATGCCATCGATTGCACGGAGAGCGCTGAGATCGGTGTGTCCGACCACAGTACCGTGTACAAGTCGGTGTGGTGGGGACAGGAGGTGGCGTTGAAGCGGCTGGTGCTGGTGGAAAAGGGCGCCGGAAAGTACGAGCAGATGGCGCAGTTCCTGATGGTGGCGGCATTAAATGCATCACATGAGCCACCCCAACGTGGCCCGCATGCTGGCTGTCGTGAGGTATCCGTTTCATCTGTGGATGACAGAATTGATTGGTATGAATGCATTGTCTGGATGCCCTTCTCCATCGTCTCAATTGTCACATATCATTTAGATCCAAGAGATAGATGCACATCCTGCTGCCATTTTGTGCTTGTTGGTTTCCACAGTTGTATTTCATTGCCATCGTGTTATTCCATTGCTTTTTAATTGCCAACACGATAGACTCATGCCACAAGAAATAATGGGTGGGGATGCACAATACCCGCGAAGTCAATGTTGGCTGCATCGCTGAGATGTATCTATGCCAGTGATATTTATGTTGTCGAGTTTCGTTTGTATGTTAATGGCCATGACAATTCAGTGCTAATTAACTGGCATGATGCTGCCACTCCTGCCATCGCATCAGATTTCCAAAGTGAAGGCTGGGCTTTGTTGTATGACAATCTGCCTCTGCTGCACATAGGTCCGGCCTCGTTATCATGGAGCTGGCAAGTGAGAGCCTGTTCTCGTGGTACCAACACGGCTGGGTGGCAGACTGGGGCCCCAAGACCCACGTTGGACACCAGGCCGCGTTGGGACTCGCCCACCTCCACGCCCACCCAATCATCCCCCGCGATGTCAAATCGTGCAACTTCTTGGTCTTCCCGCCCTCCTCGGGAGACTGGGTGGTGCCCGTTGTCAAGCTAGGCGACTTGGGCATTGCAGTGAGATAAAATGAGGAGTGGCGAGTGGAGACGACGAAAAGACAGCAGCCCGGGACCAAGAGGTACTTGGCGCCAGAGATTGATGCGGGCAAGGCCCACAACCCCCAGAGCGATGTGTCCAGTTTTGGGGTGGTGTTGTGCGAGGTGGTGGCGCAGACGGTGCCATACGGCGGCGGCATGAGCTCCGACTTGGTTGTCATGGCGAAGAAGATGAAGGGGTGCCCGAAAAGACTGGCTGCGCTCGTTAAGGAGTGTTTGGCATTCGAGCCTCGTGATAGGACGTCAATGGAGGTTGTGGAAAGGCGCTTGATGGAGATGTCACGTGACTTTGGGAGCTTAGCGAGTTGAGGCTTGGGAGGTGGAAGGTTGTAAGTAGACACAGTATTTTGGCAAATGTGCAATTTCAAGACTTGCAAATGTAGTTTGCTAATGGGTCTGGCTAGTGCCACAGTTGCTACAAAGGCTGTCAATATTCAGCAATGAGGCTTATCGAGTTTTCCTTGATGCAATATCTTCCTTTGGCAACTAGAGCGTGAAGTGTCCAATTCACTAATAGCCGCATTGCCACTCACCTGAATTGATTGCGTATGACCGATGCACAGTGATTTGACTGGGTGATGTGATACCTTGAACGCCCACTATGTGGCAAGTGACACCCTAGCAATGTTTCAGGAGACATCGGCATGGCACAATACTACTGAGCACTACTGAGGTTCCTGTAGAGAAAGCAACAGGTCTGCTGCGTAGAGCACTGCTTCCTCTAGAGCCCCTGGGTCTGAAGCAACAGGCCTGTTACATAATATGCAAGTAGACGTTGTCAATTACGGCTGCGAAGGAAGGGCACTTTGTCACCAATGCCAGGACAACAGCGGAAACATTCACAGAATTAAGAATGTCATATCAAGTACTTGGGCGACAACCTTGCTTGCCAAAACCTGCCCTGCATGGGGTGCTGGGACGTGTATCTTTGCTCTAGAAGCCACACCCAGCAACTCCAATTTCGTCATGCCCTTTCCTTCCCAGCGTTGCACCAATTTCCGTTGTCTTTTTCCGTGGCCATACTGGGCACAGGTGGCTCCACCTCCAGCCACGGGGAACTCTCCAAAACTGGGTACGATCGCCGAAAAGTGTGCTGCCCTGTTGTTGGCGGCTGTGGTTCGCAAGCATTGCTGACAACAGCGAAGATCGCCAGCAGGATGGGATCATCACAGTGTTCAACCCTTGGCTGCTTGTGTAAGCTCGTGCCATGACAGTCGTTTCTTCACACACATTCGTTGACGAAGGGTTGGGGTTTGGGAAGAAGAAGTCATGGGCTCCACTACGGCATTGGAAGGAACCCCGTTTTGGTGTGACTGGTGATAGCTGTCGGCAAGGGGCTGGGCTGGGTGCGACGCAGGCTTGGGATGCCGTTCGTGGTGGAGGCAACACTCAACGGGGCTCGCAAATGCAGATGGGCGCAGGGAAAAGGCAAACAGTAGGTGGCACAGTTCTGTGCAATTCATCGCAACACAACGGCGTGCATCAGCCAGGAAAATAGGCAGTTTCATATGACCTCCTTCACATGCCAATGAGGTGCAACTCTGTACAATGATGTCCATACAGTGCCCCACAGTGGAGAACCACAAACAACCCCATGCAGCATCCACAATACATCCGGGAGTGACAAGACTAAAAAACACTAAAGCAGAAGGTCCACATATTATCTATTTTTGAAGTAGGAACGCTACGCACTGGTGGAGTCTCATGTCAAAAGAAGAAGACCAAACGTCGGCTCATGCGCAGGCAACGTCTTCAGCCCCAATTCAGACAAATTCTGACTCCGTTTCTGCCTCGAGCAAGCTGGCGGTGCAGTCATGCTCACTGCTCCTCAAGCCCACATAGCGAGTGTGGCACCTTGTCTGCATGCGCTTGCTGATGGCAGGAAAGACGAACTTTGCCATCACGTCTGCAACGGACAGCGTCAGTGATGCCATGGCTCCCGTGATGGCCCATCCGTCTTCTGCTTCGATGACGATCATGAACGCAACCTGGAGTGCCATCTGCGGTAGATCTTCCAGCAAGCCCGCAACATACGACACACTGGCAAAATGCCGATGAACAAACCCTTCTTTCTCGTCAGCTGTCTCTTCTTCTTCATTGTGGGTCAGCTCTGTTCCCCACGGCAGGAGTTTGATCACCTCAACATCAAAAACTAGCAGCCCAGGGAAAAGAAGTGCCCAGTCTCTTGCATGCATGGCATTCTCTCTCTGCAAGTGCTGGAAGAGTGTCTTGATGGGTATCTCTGATTTGATTTCACTCCCCACCTTCCTGCTCAGCAGACCCCAAAATACACCAACGAGCATGTACAGCTGCGTTACCACCAATACTGCAGCGCTCAGCACGCCAATAGCCAAAAGACCCAGGTTGTGTTCCTGATTGACCTTCCCTCCCTCGATGCTCTCAGCCGACTTGTCCTGCCAGAGAATGAAGGTTGTGATCACAAAGCCAATGTCCGACAACACATCAGCCAATCCCAAGAGATGGCCAGCAAACGCGGCCATCAGCTCACCCATGGACCTCTTCGGGTGGTAAGGAGAATGTATGGTGGACAGCATGTAGTGGAAGAGCATCAAGGACAAGACGATCATTGCTGCAATAATGGCGAAGCCAACGGCCATGGGAACCAATGTCTCCACATCACACTCATCTTTGTGCAGCCTTGTGACAAACGTTGTGTTGCCATTCTTTCCCCTGGGATGTGGCACCGTGTTGTTTCTCCTGCGACATCCAGCTTGCTTATATGGCAAAGGCTCTTCTGATGCAAAACCCGTCAAATTGCCATTTTCAGTGATCCTTGTCAGATTTGCTACGACTGACAGATTCCCCAAATCAATGTGGTTCAAGTCCTCATTGCCAGAAATTAGCAGATCTCCATTCACAGCAGTCAGAGAACCAAATCCATCCACAGATATCAGATGCGGGTTTGAGGCAATGACAAAACCGCCAAAGAGATCCCCAACGCCTCCACTTTCCTGCCGCGTTCTGGTAACATTAGTCAGCTTTGAAAAATTTGTGACAATTTGGAGTTCTGCATTGCCGACTATTGACAAACTTCCGTTAAGTGCTGAAAGATTGGGGAAAGAATCCACGGCTGTGTACCCCGCATTGCCCCTAATCACTAAACCACACCTTGGCGCCGAGCTTGCATTGCCACAAATAGTGCTCAGGTTACCAAATGCCTGCAATGTATCTGCTGACTTCACTTCATTTCTAACCATCTGCAGGCTTCCCCCAACGTAGCTCAAGGCTTCCAACGTTGCTCGACCTGTTACAGTGCTTTTTTCCAGCAGCAGGCTTCCGCGAACGGACACAAGATTTGGCATGCAGCTGTCTTCGGCGCTTCCAAAATCAATGTCGGAGAGCACGAGATCCTGACCCACACTCTCCAGCCTCCGCAGTGCAGCGCCTTTCAGCACAGGGCGTTTAGTGTTGTTTCTGGTGCTGCCTCCCTCAGTCCAAGTAACAGTAAAGCTGGTGTCTGCCAAATTGTCGGAAATGACAATGTTCTTTCCAACTTCTTTAAGATTGTCCAGCCCAGTAAAATCTTTCAAGTTTCGATTTTTCTCAATCCTGAAGTCACCCCCAACCGTCACAAGACCATTCAACCCCCTGACACTCGCCAAGGCAACATTTGCTTTGATTATCGCGTTGCCATCCACTGAAGTGATGTTTCCAAGGCCATTAACGTTCTCGAGATCATCATTCCTGACTATGCTGATGTTCCCAGGAATCTTCGTCAAATTCTCGAGACCGTTAACATTAATGAGTTGCTTGTTTGTGCTGATGGCAATGCTCCCATTAACTCTCCTGAGATTTCCAAAACCATCCACATTTACGAGAGCATGGTTTTTGCTGCAGACCAGCTCCGACCCAATCTCTGCAAGGCTTCTCAGCCCGTCAACATTTGAAAGCCCATTGCTGAGGAGGACAGCCCTGCCCACGCTTGTAAGTGTCTGAAATCCAGATATATTTCTGAGAGCTCGATTGTTTGAAATCCAGAAATTGCTTCCCACTTTGCTTAGCATTTGAAACCCAGAAACATTCACAAGGGCATCGTTATGAGCCAATCCCAAGTCATTGCCGAGTGTGCGAACGTTCCCAAATCCAGAAATGCTCGTCAGATTTGTGCCGTAAATGCCTATCCCTCCCACCTCAGTAAGTTTTCCAAACTCAGGAATGCTTGCGAGATGCGGGGATACTCTCATGACAAGGGACCGTGCCACCTTCTCAAGACTTCCAAACCCAGAAATGCTGGTCAGATTGTCGTTGTACATGATGACTATTTTCGATGTGGCCTCAGTGAGACTCTCAAATCCTGTAATATTTGTCAAACCCTGGTTGACAGCAATCTGCAATGTTCCCACCCGTGTAAGATTTCCAAAATTCGGCATATCCATGAGAGCATCATTGTACTGGATGGCAAGCACCTCGACGTCTTTTATAACAGCCAAAGGCTGGAGAGAACTGACAGAGGTATACTCCATGACAAAGTTTCCAGCCATGTTTTCCTGCAAATGTCCGACAAATGGCTCTAATGACGTCAGCTTCTTTCCCGACACGTACACAGAATCCAGGGACTCTCCACTGCGCTTCATATCGTTGAGGACAGCAGCGAGGTTCTCCTCTTGCACGTCCTTCCCATTGTCGCAGGAACAGGTGGGTGACCATACATCACTTTGTGCGCAATTCCCATTCAGGCAAATGCACGCAGTTTCGAAGTTTCCTTTCTCCACTTGCTCCTGACAGGTTGCCATACAGCCTCTTGCTGCAAAGAGAACTGCGACTGTCCACATCACCAGATCCCGGATCATGGCTGCCTTCCAGCCCATACGACCAGTGCCCACAAGCATTGCTCTTTCCTGGGCAAGCGGGAAAATGTCCTAAAAGCGCACAAGCAAACAAATCGTCAGACACCAATAGTATGTTATTTATGGTCAAGAGTCGAGCACAGACTGGTGCACAGAGAGTTT